CGTGCTCATGTCCTTCCAAATAAGTGTAAAGGTTTTCGTCCTTCTAGTATCTAAAATTTTCTTAGACAGAAAGGAACTCTTTAAGTATCAAGATGGAATATTGTTGACTTTTTCACTGTTCTGTCAATAAGTGTACAGAAGTTGAAACAGAATGTTGAAAGCTAAAGAAAAGAACTCTATCCTTAGTATGATTCTCCGTAGCTACCGATGGCTCTACGCTTTCTTTTCCAAAGTAACGCGCGGCAGTTGGCCCATTTTTCGACAGATGGCGCTTTAAAAAAGTGTCCTTTTGAGCACGCGCGTCACACGCCTAAATGACGTTACAATGATCAGTCAGACTAATCAGGCGTTGTTTGTCACACCCCGTTGCGCAACAGCCACGCAGAGCTCGGCTCTGAGGGGCACAGCCCACTAATTCCAGCTCCTATTGGAATATATGGAAAACATCTAAGAACTGAGCTGTCAACAATCACCTACTTGAGTGTTCAACTATTGCAAACACATATTGACAGGGTAGTCCAACTTCCAAATTGTCTATTTAGTCCAAAAATTTCACTTTTTGACCAGCGATACCTGGCACGGCAAATGCAAACACTGGCAGCATGACCTCTGACCCCCTTGAAGACCACCAAAAGACAAGAAGATGGGATTAGTTTTAGAACCTACCAAGCAGCCAAAACAACCCTAACAGCCAGTTTTTTCAAGTTAATAGAAATAGAAATAACTCTCCAGCTGGAAAATGCCAGCATTTATCCACACATACCAAGAAAAAGGCTTTTTCAGTTGGTTTGGCTGCACTCACTCAAAGGGGTCTCAGACTGGGCCCTCTGGGCATGCGCCAATTGGTGACCTTTGCCCTGTCAGAGGGTTCAAGTTCAAAACTGACAGATTTCAATACTTTCGCATAAACCGGGTAAGGGTTGTAAACTCTCAGCCCAAGTGTCAAAGATCTCTGATGAGAAATGGTCCCCTGGGAATACATTTGATAACAGGTGTTGGTGGCCCATTCCCTGGCCTAGGGCACTGGTCTGAGCCTATTGGTGGGGTCCATATTACTGAGATAAAAGTAAGAAAAACACAGGAAAAAGTAAGAATTTGCTGGCCCTGGCATTAGCTGAGTACCTTTTCTCCACTAAGGCATCTAAAGGTGCATCCTAAAGATGTTAGATTTGCCTATTAAACTGTTTAAGGACAGCACATACTGCACTGTCAATGAAGGCTACAAAATCTAAGAAAAATGGTCAAAAACACTAAAATCAAAGGATTTTTTAGCAAATCTGAGTCCAGTGAGTCACCTGGAGCCTGCTCCTAACCCAAAGAACTAATTTAGGCAAATATAAGCTACAATGGTCAATCTGACCCCCCTCCCTAAAGTTCCAGAAAGAGAGAGTGTCAACTGAAGATATCCTGACCAGCTTGGAAGGTAAGTTGTGATAAAGGTTAAGGTGTTTTCTTAAGTCAAATCACCTTTTGGTCATTGCAGGACGTTGAAGGTTCGACATGCAGGTAAAACATTATGTAATACAAAATAAAGCAAAAAATAAAGCAAACAAGCAGATTTTTAAATTTTATAAAAATTTTGAGGCTTCAGAAAGTATCTAGTGACTGAGAATGTGAATAGAAGTGTAACTTGTGTATTAATGCGTATCTGAATTGTTATGTAAATGTTCTACAAAAGAATGCCTGTTTGGTTTTATTTTACTCGCCCGCTCAAACATTATCCTGTAAAAA